AATTTTAGAGCTCTATGTTCATAATTTTATCACTATATGTTCATAATTGTAAGTTCATAATGTTAGAGCTCTTTGTTTATAATTTGATCAATAACTGTACATTCATAATTCCATACTGTAGATTCATAATCTCATAACTGTAGATTCATAACTCCATAACTGTAGATTCATAACTCTATAACTGTACATTCATAACTCGATAACTGTACATTCATAATCTTCGAAGCTCTATATTCACAATTTTAAAGCTCCATGGTCATAATTTTATCACTATATATGTTCATAATTGTAAGTTCATAATGTTAGAGCTCTGTGTTCATAATTTCATAATTGCATAACTGTATATTCATAATGGAATAACTGTACATTCATAACGGCATAACTGTACATTCATAATCCAAAAAAAAAATAACGCCGTTAACGGCAAAACGCGCACAATTTTTTTTTTAACTAAATGACGCGTTTTTTTTAAAAAACGACGTCGTTTTGGGTCCGTGTCCACAATTCAATGTGGACACGGGTCCAGGGCATAATTTGCCCCATGAGGGGGTATTTATACATATATAGGTGCTCCGCTTAAAGTATGAAACTAAATTAGTTCAAATCTGGTTCGCAAATCAAGGACCAAATCAAGCGTCAATATCCTAAAATTTGACTGGCATTACCTTCCTAAAATACAAATTACATTCTTGTCCCAAGGTTGAATCTCCAACCTTAAAGGTCCCTCACACTCCGACCCGACAGAGCATGTGGGAGGATATATAAATTACATTCTTAAAATACAAAAGGAAACTAAAATATATATATATATATATATATGAAAGGAAAGTAGTACAAATTATGTAACAAATCCCCTAAACTCTTTGGGAATGAAAACTCCTAAATTCTGCCAATCCAGTTCATTTTAGTAATACCCATCAGTCCCTTTGCATTGGCATTCTAGCATTCAGCTCCAGGGTCCGTAGTCCTCCCACCTTTAACTAACCGACCACCTCAAACTGACTGCCCAGGCACTAACACCACATCCAACATCCACTCCCTCACTTTCTTGTGACTCGTGAAGTTGACGAAGCAAGAAAGTAGCAAGAAAAACCCTATCCAACCACTTCATCGTGGTTTAAAAGTGAGGTTTGGGAAGAATGACCAGGGATCGAATCTCACCAGTGGTAGTGTGGGAGCAACCTCTCAAAGTGAGGGGAGCTCCTTGTGCGCAGTAAGCAAAGGTCTAGGTTCTTACCATGATTTACATCCTCTCACATGCTCTGTTGTGCTAGAGTGTGGAGGGGGGGGGGGGGGGGGGCTTGGGGCTCGGGATTCAACCTTTTGAAAAGGAGTTAATGTCATTTTTGGTCCTAGACTTATTGGGGGCATTGACACTTTTCATCATCCATAATAAAAATTGCCAGTTAGTAGCCACTGTTATTGGTCGTTTGATACTTTTAGTCCTCTGTCACTTCTGCTGCCTATTGACTGTTAAAATAAAGGGCATTTATGTCATTTTATGTCTTCTCCTCCTAATCTTGACAAGATGAACAGAGTTTTCACTGTTGACCCACAATCAGAAACTCCACCATCATCTTCGCTGTGCCGTCACCAACGTTGCTGCTCGCCGGAATCGCCATAGCTGCCACCGACTGCCACCACCGTGCTAAAGTTCCAGCCCTTTAAGGCACTAACCCTCTGATCTCATGGCCATGGCAGTTGGAGAACCTTAACAAAACTTTCTATCATGGATGATAATCTTGGTAACACTTAATAACTCTTCATTTTTCTTTCTGGTTTGAATAGATGTGGGAAGAGCTGTAGGTTAAGATGGACTAATTATTTGATGCCAGATATCAAGAGAGGCAAAATTTCCCATGAAGAAGAGCAGACAATTCTTCATCTCCATTCCATCTAAGGGAACAAGAACGAACATTATCCTAAATATAAATTAGTAAGACCAAACATTATCACAAGTAAGAACGAACAGTATTACAAGTAAAAACGAACATTCCATCCTAGACTAGACAATGGGCTCCACTCCAGCGTCCACCGCGCGAGCCAGAGCTTAGAACCCTCCACCGACGGTCTCTCCTTCGCGAATCTCCCAACCAGAGTCAAACTCTCCTCTGTCTCCACCAAATTCGCCCATTCCGATGCGGAAATTTGCACAATAGGCCGATAATCCTGTGAGATTTCATTCGGATAACCAGTTCCGGCTAACTGATCTGCTTGAACTTGCTTCGGACTCCCCGATCTGGCATACGCACGAGAATCTGCTTCCTCTCGCCTCTGAAATACGACTTCTAGAAATCGCATGCAATCTGTTGGTAGATCGCCGAATAGATCATTAGTCTGAGCTTTTGGATGCATCCTCGTGATTTTTGCCAAATTTCCGTTTTCCGGTGACATAACCGTCCGCCGTCGCTGGCCCCTCCCCCACCGCCAGCCTTGCTTCACACACACACGTTAAATTGCAGTGAATCAAGTGGGAGTTTTAGCAAATTAGCTGCACAAATTGCGATTATGAATTGATGAATTCTCTCCAAAAATAAAGCCTGATTAAGATCGATTAATTCTCTCCAAAATAAAGAATACTACTTGATAGGACTAAAAAGCCCTTTTTTTTAACAGTCAACAGACAACAGAAGTGACGGAGGACCAAAAGTGTCCAACGACCAATAACAGTGGCTACTAACTGATAATTTTTATTATGGATGATGAAAAGTGTCAATGCCCAATAAGTCTAAGATAAAAAATGGACTCTTTTGGAAAGAATAATCATTTGCTTTGGCTTTCCAAGTAGTTAGCCCACCGACCACTCAATAATTGTATAATACCAATACACCTTCTGCTCAATTGCATTTTTGACTACCTAGACTCAATACTATTCAACTCCCAACCGCATTTAACACATCATAAATACCTAGTTGAACGGCGGTAGTTGGAGCAGCTAGCTGGTTACGATTCTCAAGTTTCTCCCTAATTACAAAATGTTAAAGTGAAGCTGTCAATAATTAGTTAATTACAAAAATACAATTACATTTTTTTAAAATTAGATTTGAACTTTCCAAGTTTACATATGTAAGGTTGAAATTGATTATTAGTTTTGTCTTTGGAATGTGTTCTCATGGAATCATAAGCCTATATAAAAATCCAATCTGGTTTACAACAAATATTATTGTTTAAAATGAGGTTACTAAATCTCTAGCTTATTCTCTAACTATTCATTGGATGCCTCGAATGTTCCACTGAAGAGCCTTCGGATATCAAACGGCTTGATCTTCAAAGAAGGACTTGTATATAGCGTATTCTTTGTTGAAGGACCTCCAGACTCAAATAACTTTATCTTCAATGGTGAACTCTAGAGAGAACGATTGCAGAGCTTCCGGGAATGAAATTTATGCCGATGAGAATTCAATGAGCTCGGATTCATATTGAAAACCTCTTTGTAGACGACATTGGTAGTAGCAACAGAATCTTGTCCATCCTTGTCTAGAGCTAACATCTTCAGGCCATCAGGATGGGTGATTCCGGAAAAAGCCACATACAATTGACCATTGCCCATTGCATTACTATTTTCTCTGAGAAATCAATGAGCTCAGATTCATATGTATCCCATATAATACATATATTATAGTTAATCCGTTTTCTTTTTGAATAGTTAACCAGGGATCATTTAGAATTTTGAGTCAAATAGTAATATTCATTTCCTTTTTCAATTGGCCTAATTTATGTGCCATTTTTAATCATAGTCAATTATTTTTTAATACATATCAATTAGTTGATTATTAATAACAAATTTTTTAATATTTCCAGTCAATTATTAATAATAGATTATTTTTCCAATTTACCTATAATATTGTTAATCTATTTCCTTTTCGAAATAGTTAATTGGGATCATTTTTAATTTTCAGTCAATTATTAATATTCATTTCCTTTTTTAATTACCATATAATTAACATAGTCATGCAATAACGTAGTAACAATCTTCTCTGTGCAAAGTATTCTCAAAATAGTTTGCTCATTGCATGACTATTTCTTCTGGAAATCAATGAGTTCAGATCTATATGTATCCCATATAATACCTATATTATGGTTAATCTGTTTCCTATTTGAAATAGTTAATTGGGGATCATTTTTAATTTCCAGCATATTATTAATATTCATTTCATTTTTCAATTGACATAATTTTTGTGTCATTTTTTTTATCTCAGTCAATTATTATTTTGTTACTACATATCAATTAATTAAGAGAAAATTTCAATTTTGGTCACATGACTATAGGGGCTTTGTTAATTTCAGCACCTAACTTTCAAAAGTGTCAATTTAGTACCTTGAGTATGTAATTTTTGTCAATTTTGGTCACTCCGGCCAAATTGCCGGTCAAATTTGGCCGGAAAAATTTAATTCAACATTTAGTCTAAATATTAGGGGCAAAATCGTCTTTTGAACTGTGGTCCCAATTAAACGTGCAAACCAGATTTTGACTCCGTCCACCGCATGAGCCCGCATCCGGACTCTCCGGCAGTCCTCCTCCAACGTGAATTGCATCAAGATGCTACGCCTATCCAAGGATCCTATCTGCACTTCCCCTTCCAGACGAAGGATTTCTCAAATTTTTGCCCTAATTGCATCCAGAAGCGGCCCCCTTCGCAAAACGCTCAATCAAGGTGAATCACTCCTCCGTCTCAACCATATTTCGCCATTCTCTCACTGAAATTCTTGCAATTGTCCTTCTCTAATTTGGAATTGCAGTCTTATTTAGACCTCTGCCATTTACGTAGCGAGAATCTGTACGATCTGTCCAATCTCATTTTGTGTCGCTATTTCTTGAAACAGGACAAATTCTGGCAACAAATCGATGCTCTGACCTCCAATCGACTGATAATCCTCTGGATTTACCTTCAGATTCTCAAAAATTGCGTTTGATCAAGACAAATCTAACTTATCTCGCCTCAAGAAATATGGTCGAACGGTTCGTGCATTTGTGCAATGAAGAACAGCTTAATCTCGAATATTCTGAACAATTTCTGGACAATCAGGTCGTGAATCAGCATTTTGCTCACCGATCGGAGCATTCTCTACCAACTTGCCGTCGAGAATCTCACTCTGCTCGAGCTTAAGCTCTTTCTACGCCTCTTCTTCACCTCCGGGCTCTCCTCCAAGTCGGATATTTTGCTCATTTTCCGATCAAAGTCGCCGGCTTTCGAACGGGTCGTCGCCGAGAAGAACGACTCGTTCTTGGTCCGGTCAATTAGGAGCAGATCAAGAAAAGACTGTTTTGTCCCTCAGATTTGTGCCTAAAAGTTGGATTTAATTTTTCCGGTCAAATTTGACTGGTAAATTGGCCGGAGTGACCAAAATTGAGAAAAATTACATACTCAAGGTACTAAATTGATACTTTTGAAAGTTAGGTGCTGAAATTAACAAGGCCCCTATAGTCGTGTGACCAAAATTGAAATTTTCTCATTAATTAATTATTATTAATAGATTATTTTTTAATATTTCCAGTCAATTATTAATAACAGGTTTATTTTCCAATTTATCTATACTATTGTTTGGGCGGCCTGACCATTTTCTTTTTCATTTGAATCAATTTGTGATCATTTTTAATTTTTAATTTTAATCAAGTATTAATATTCATTTCCTTTTCCAATTGGCCTAATTCCGTGCCATTTTTATTCTCAGGCCATTATTATTTTTTAATACATATTAATATTAATAAGTTAATTATTAATAACATATTTATTTTTAATATTCACAGTCAATTATTAATAACAGATACTTTTTTCAGTTTACCTATACTATAGTTAATCAGTTTTCTTTTCGAAATAGTTAATATGAAGATCTTTTTTAATTTTCAGACAATTATTAATATTTATTTCCTTTTTCAACTGGCCTAATTTCCATGTTATTTATATTCTCAGTCAATTATTTTTTGCAATACATATTAATTAGTTAATTATTAATAACATATTCCTTTTTAAATATTTTCAGTCAAATATTAATAATAGATTTTTTTTATATAGTATAGATTAGAATAGAATTGTATTACACTATTTTATAATATTAGAATAGGAATTTTAACCTAAAATTATATTACGAATATGAAAGTAAAAAATAATATATTTTTATTAGAAAAAGAGATTTTTTTAAGAATTGGGCGGGAGATTTTTTCAATATTATATATATATATATATATATATATATATATATATATATATATATATATATATATATATATATATATATATATATATTGAAAGGTTCCCGTGCGGTTGTGCGGTTATTAATGTGCGTGAGATTTGTACTCAATGTGCGTGAGTGTTGTGTCTAATGTGCCTGAGATTTGTACTTAATGTGCGTGAATGTGTAAAATGCAGCAGAAAATATGGATTTCAGCTTCCCATCCCCCGTAGCCATTGCTCCCTCCCCGATGATGATGATGCCCCTCCCCGATGATGATGATGATGCGGAGGCGGGCTATTGTGATTAAGAATTATGGGAATAATACAACAGAAATCCACACTTAGTTACTGTGCAAATTTACTGTGAATGCGTCATTTATATAAACATTCAACTGCACTGAAGGTAGCTGATAATCCAGAATCCATGACCAAATTGAAGGAAGAAGTAACAAGAAGCTTGGGCGTTAATGTGCGTGAGTTTCTGTTCTGCTTCCTTCTAATTGAAGCATGTGCTCCATCTCAACTAAAAGCTTAAGCTGATAGTTGGATACACATTAATGGATATATGCTCACACGCCCCCTCACGTGTACGGTGGATTCCAACCAACACGTGGACCGGTAAACCGTAGTCGATTCGAACCCATGACCTTTGGTCTGGCTCTGATACCAAATTGAAGCATGTGCTCCATCTCAACTAAAAGCTTAAGCTGATAGTTGGATACACATTAATGGATATATGCTCACACTTCTGAGCTCGTAATTCTGAAATACTCACGCACATTAAACACAATACTCAGGCACATTAAGTACAAAACTCACGCATATTAACATGACGCACATTAAGTACAAATTTCAGGCACATTAAGCACAACACTCACGGACATTAAGTATAAACCTCACGCACATTAATCAACTGCACGGGAAGCAACAAATGCACCTGATCCCTTCCCTATATATATATATATATATATATATAGTATAGAAGTATAGATTAGAATAGAATTGTATTACACTATTTTATAATATTAGAATAGGAATTTTAAACCCGCACGGGCTTAGCTCAATGGTTTAGTGGGCAGTATTTGGGAGAAGAATACGAATTTTAATCTAGAACTATAGTACGAATAGAAAAGTAGAAAATAATATATTTTTATTAGAAAGAGAGATTTTTTAAGAATTGGGCGGGAAGTTAAAGTTCATGATTTGTTTGTATATATAGTATAGATTTGTTGAAATTAACGGATGGTTGAAAAATCATATCATCGTAAAAAGATTGAAAGAATATATATTTACGCAATGCGATTTTAGACAACCCCAAAAACAAATGTATAAAATTACCATTCACCGTTCACTGTGGTTGAGCGGCCGATAACGTGTTGTAACTCATTAGCTCAAACATGATCACAAGAATTACAGAAAAAGAGAAAGTAAGAGACAAGACAAGAAGATTATCTTATTATTCATCTGTCCTTCATATTACATACAACCACAACATATATAATATACAAATATAACAGAAGACATAATGTAGTCTCCTAACCGTTACATAATCAATACTAATAATGATCACACTAAATATATTATTTATAACATAAGTCAAATTAATTTAATTAATTAATGTGAAAAAAACCTCAATTAAGATACGACTCGATATTATTGACTGATTCAATATTGTCAAATTTTTTCATGTGTGCGTTTAAATTAAAAATATCGGTTTTAGTTTTAGGGTTTTTTTTTTTTTTTGTTTTTTTTTTGTTTTGGTTTTATCAATTTCATCACTCATTGTATACGACAGATTTCGGTGCTGATCTAGTGCTAAAGACTAAAGTCAACTTTAGGCCAAAGCTGGAGAAAATATGTAAACATCGGCAATTACCTTCATAGCTTAACTTATACGCATACTTTATTCCAAAATGGGTCAAAATACTTATAAAGTCCTTGTACTATCATGTTTTGTTCAATTTAATTCTTGTGCTTTTATTATGTTCAATTTAGTCTCTTTATTTTAAAAAGTAGTGAAATTAAATATAATAGTTAACGGTGTTAATATTTCCGAGGACTTAGGTTATGTGGCGCTGATGATATTTATATTACTACTCATATATTACTTTATAAATATTTAAAATTAATTATTTTTATCACTAATGTATTAAATTAGTATGTCCAAAATAAATAATTACAACCATGTTCCTAATAAGATTTGGACAATTATCCTTAATTTCATCACTTTTTAAAATAGAAGGATTAAATTGAACAAAATAAAGATATAAGTACTAAATTGAACAAAACACGATAGTACAGGGACCTCATAGATACTTTTACCTCCAAAATCAACTAAAGTCAAGAGTCAACAAAAGTCGAGAGAAAAATTAGAAAAAAACAAAACTAGATAAATTATATTTGCTCCTATAAATATTTCACGAAATATACATGATAGAAACAAGTGTCATATATGTCTCTTACATATCATTTTGGTGTAATCAGGGATGGAGCGAGAAATTTGGTTGAGGGGGGCGAAACAGTACAGACGGATTCAGAAAATTTTTCCAGAAAAGGCGAAACATTAAAACAAAAGAGATAATTTAAAAATAAATAAATAAACTACCTAAGAAATATAATTGTAAATATTATTGGATATGAACGAAAAATAAAACACATCGAAACTTTATAAAATATTAATAACAAAATATGAAACATAATTAATAAAATAATTTGAATAGAAAACACATTAAAAATTACACATCTTATTATAGAGTGTGTGTGTGTGTATTATTAAAATATACAATTGTAAAACTATGTTAATACTAAGATTGGAACCCTTAATCTTATTATTACCAAAGATGTGCTCTACCACCTACTCTAACTCACTTCTTGTTACCATTTTGTAGTTTTTTTTTTTATACTAATACTAAAAAACATGTACTATATATACATATATACATACAAATACTATATATGGGGCGGGGGTGGGGTGAGGGGGGACAGCCGCCCCCCCTCTCCCTCCGTCCCTGGGTGTAATTGAGTCACTCAACTTTAAAAAATGTGTAATTAAATCATTAAACAAATAAAATATGTGCAATATAATAGAAAAATTTGTGTGGTTTCTTTAAATGCAATTTAAGTTGAAAACATTTCAATCTTTCATCCCAACTAAGGCAAATTATGTTGTGTAACCGTGTGCACCATGTTTGGTGCACACTGTTCTATGTTCATAATTACTGAACTATATGTTCATAATTATAAAGCTATATATTCATAATGTTTGAACTTCATATTCATAATTATTGAACTGTATATTCACAATTATAGAACTCTATGTTCATAATTTTTGATGTTCATATTCTCAATTGTTGAACTTTGTATTCACAAATCACATAACTATATGTTCATAATTTGATAACTATACAGTTTAGAAATTATGAATCTACAGTACAGAAATTATGAATCTACAGTACATATATTATGAATCTGCAGTATAGAAATTATGAATCTACTGTATAGAAATTATGAATCTATTGTATTTAAATTATGAATCTACGGTTTAGAAATTATGAATCTACAGTATAAATATGAATCTACAATATAGAAATTATGAATCTATAGTATAGAAATTATATATCTATAATATAGAAATTATGAATTGGACCCGCTTGCACCTTGCATGGTGCACACGGTTGCACAACATAACGTTCCCCCAACTAGTATGACAAAGAAAATAGCGATTCTTAGCACATACCATGTAAATTATATGGTCTGAAATTTTTTTTTAAAAAAAAGTCTTAATTGTACATATTTTTTACTTCAATGGCTTAATTACACATTTTTCAAATTTAATGACCCAATTGCGAAAGTGATTAGTTTAGTAACCTATTTGACACATTTTCATACATAATATATTGCCTATATAAACATTGTATATGTATTATTATTTTGGCTTCATTTTATATGTGTGGTTTAAGTAATGAAATATATAAGTTAGACAATTTGTAATTTAATTAATGAAATTTGATTCAAACTTTTTTAAAAAAAAAAAAAAACCAAATTTGATTCAAACTATTTATTTGTAATAGTATTTGATTTAGTATTCATATTCAAATATTATAACTTAAAGTTATATTATCAAATCAATAATCTATTAAATTTATTCAAAATTTAAAAATTAATCATACTCTGTCTCTAACAAAGTGATAATCAATTTCTACATGCTTAGTACGAGCATGGAAAATAGGATTGGCACATGAACATGTATGTAGCACCAAGATTGTCACACCACAGCCTGGTAGTAGACACACCAGACACGCCAATTTCACGCAGTAGAGAGAGGATCCAAATTTCCTTAGCACAGACATCTGCTAAAGCTTTATATCCAGCCTTAGTAGACGATCTAGCAACAGTTCTTTGTTTCTTACATACCCATGATATAAGTTCGGAACCAAGAAACACAGCGTACCCACTAGTTGACTTACGATCCTTAGGACAGCCAGCCCAATCAGAATATGAAAAAGCATGTAATTCTCTGGACACTGACTTTCGTATTCGCAGACCATAAGTAGTAGTTCCATTTACATACCTCAGTACAAGTTTCAATTGCTCCTAATGCGAGACGTAGGAGCATGCATGTGTTGACAGAGTTGGTTGACCACAAAAGACAGATCTGGACGAGTAACCGTAAGATGTTGTAAAGCTCCAGCTAAACTCTTATACTGTGTAGCATCATCATATAAATCAGCGTTAAAAACAGTGGTTTTCGAAGGAGATATAGGAGTAGTTAAGGGTTTACAGTCTGTCGTGCCAGCACGTTTTAAAATGTCAGTCATGTATCTTTGTTGAGAAAGCAAAATTCCATCACTATATTTAACAATTTCAATCCCAAGAAAGAAACCATGTTCACCAAGATCCCTAATCTTGAATGTAGAGGATAATGCTATCAGTAAGGTGCTGACAAGATTTTGATCATTGCCCATTACAAGAATATCATCAACATACACCAGAACATAAATGAAGTCTGAACCCTGTGAGTAGTAAAACAAAGATACATCTGTTTTCGAAGCTTTAAATCTCGTTGTCATCAGAAACGCATGCAATTGATTGAACCAAGCTCTAGGAGTTTGTTTTAATCAATAGAGAGAACGCTTTAACAGGCAAACACGATTAGGAAACTTCTTATCAATATATCCAGGTGGTTGCTTCATATAAACAGTTTCAGGCAATTTCCCATTCAAAAAAGCATTGTGCACATCAAGCTGCTTAACAACCCATCTAGAGGATATGGCCAAAGATATAAGTAACTTGATTATGGTAGGTTTGACTACTGGACTGAATGTGTCAAAAAAATCCTGTCCTGGTACTTGATTAAACCCTTTGGCTACTAACCTTGCTTCGTATCGTACAATCGATCCATCAGCTTTTCGTTTGGTGCGAAAAAGACATTTGCACCCAATTATATTCATATCTGACTGAGTTGGAACGAGACACCAAATCTCATTTTGTAAAAGTGCATTAAACTCATCATCCATTGCCTTGCGCCATTCATAATGTTTGACTACCTGTGTATAACAAGTGGGTTCAGTAAGACAAACCTGAGCAGAAAGAGCCAAAAGGAGAGCCTTAGACCGACTCCGAGTCGCCATGGTGTGTGTTCGGACCGTAGACTGCGTAGACCGCCCCTTCGGGCGGCCTCGAGGGCAGGCGATAGTAGCAGCTTCGTCTGGACCGGTGGAAGCTTCTTTGTGTCTTCCTAGGTTATCCTGTGTCTTTTAGGGGGTATAGGTGCATGGACTTACAGACTAATAAGATTTACATATGCATGCATGTCAGATTTGATGAAGAAGTATTTCCTTTTGCTACTAAATCTTCCTTGCAGGCTACACCACCTACTTAGATTGCTCCTTGGGGGGAATCTATTCTCCATCATGACGTCAGCAATGCTGCATAGAATTCTGTGCATCCAGATGCGCCGCGAGAGCCCGTGTTGCTGGACGAGCCCATGCAAGCTGATTCCGTGCAACCTAGATCATCCTCGGCCGAACCTGTAGAGGCTGCACGGCGTCCGCGTGGCAAGTCGACGAGGCCAACCGTCCGCACCCACTCCATGGAGACTCACAGTAAGTCTCAGGCTCCTCCTATGGCTCTGGCTACTCAAGTTTGTCCTACGGAACCTACGTGTTACACTCAAGCTGTTAAATATCTTGAGTGGCGTGAAACTATGGACCAAGAATTTAATGCTCTACTACAGAATCAGACTTGGTCCCTAGTTCCCTCCACCACAGGTATGAATATTATTGGGTGTAAATGGGTGTTTCGCACGAAAAGGAAGGCTGATGGAACTATTGAGAGACATAAAGCCAGGTTAGTAACAAAAGATTTCAATCAGGTTCCAGGTCAGGATTTCTTTGAAACATTCAGTTTAGTGGTGAAACCCACAACTGTAAGGCTTCTATTATCCTTAGCTTTATCATCTGGATGGGTTATCAGGCAGCTAGATGTTCATAATGCTCTTTTAAATGGAAATTTGACTGAAACTGTTTATATGAAGCAACCCCCTGGTTACATTGATGTTAGTTTTCCAAACCATGCCTGCCTATTAAAACGTTCATTGTATAGATTAAAACAAGCTCCTAGAGCTTGGTTTAATCACTTACACACGTTCTTAATATCGGTTGGATTTCAAGCATAAAAACGGATGTCTCTCTATTCTATTATTCACAGGATTCTGCTCTAGTTTATCTATTCGTTTATGTGGAAGATATTCTTGTAATGGGAAGTGACCAAACTCTAGTGACTCTTTACTGTCAAAACTGTCTGCCACTTTCAGGATAAGAGACCTTTGTGAACCAAATTTCTTTCTTGGCATTGAAACTGTTAAATGTGATGATGGAATTCTACTGTCTCAACAACGATATATGAATGACATCTTGAAACGTGCTGGGATGGCATAATGCAAACCTCTTTCTACTCCTTTAATTAATCCGTTTCGAAAATTTTTCCCTTTAGTGCAGACTTATATGATGATCCTACACAGTACAGGAGCCTAGCTGGAGCACTGCAATACCTCACCATCACACGACCTGATTTATCTTTTGCGGCCAATCAGCTATGTCAACACATGCATGCTCCTACAATTTCACATTGGGAGCAATTAAAGAGAGTTTTGAGGTATGTTAAGGGAACTGTCACTTTTGGTTTACGAATCAGAAAGTCTTCTTCAAAAGAGATTCATGCCTTTTCTGATTCTGATTGGCTGGCTGTCCGGAGGATCGAAAATCTACAAGTGGATTCGCTGTGTTTCTTGGCTCTAATCTTGTGTCTTGGTCTGCAAGAAATAAAGAACTGTTGCTAGATCTTCTACTGAGGCAGAATATAAATCTCTAGCTAATGTTTGTGCTAAGGTAATTTGGATTTTTTCATTGCTGCGAGGGATCAAAGTACTAGGTATCTCTATCCCTAAACTATGGTGTGACAATCTTGGTGCTACATATATGTATGCAAATCCAATCTTCCATGCTTGTACCAAGCACGTAGAGATAGACTATCACTTTGTTAGAGACAGATGGAGTTGCTGCTGGAGATATTCACAACTTCATCTCAACAAAGGATCAACTTGCAGACATATTCACAAAAGCTTTGCCTAGTCCTAGATTTTCTTTTCTTAGAGACAAGCTACAGGTTACTAGTATACCATGTACTTGAAGGGGGAATATTAGGACTAGTATTAGGACTCTCTGTATTTGACTCACATTATGTCTCCCTATCCTAACCTCCATGTGATTCCTCTTGTATATATTCTCCTAATCTATATCATTGTCATTCATTACATTCAATACAATTCATTCAGTTCTCATCTGACATATAGAGAGTGACGTATGAGAGTATATGTTTTAATTATTTGCTAAGTTTTCTCTTGCAAATGGAAATGGAAATGGAAGACCAGCTGGGAATTAAGTCGTTATTGCTTTCCAACAACACATCTCCGATCCTAGCTAGATTGGGACCAGCTCCGATACTGGTCGGTACGATGCTTTTGCTTTTTGTCCATGTAAATTTACATGCAAAGCTCATTTAATACGATCTTCTTTGGATTCTATATAATCTAAAGGCCTAAACTATCTTTCATTTAAGGTTTGGCATTGAGTTTAGTCTGCTCTTTGATAATAAACCATATTGAGACATTAAATGAGAATATTAATTATGCCTAATTTTTCCTTTTCCCAAAGTGCACAAATTGAAAAATGAATGCTTATGTCATAGTCTTTTTCTCTGTACTCTCATTATTATCGCTTGAGAGATTGGAAACTAGCACGCACTGGGGTGTATATATAGGGTGCTGTGGATGCTAGTTCAATTCATAAACTCTCAAGTAAATCAGATCGAGGGAAGGAATTTTCAGGTTTAATTTTTCTTTTTCTAATTGTTTTCACATGCTAGAAACTTATTGAACTATTATAGGGGCAGGTTCATAGAGTTTTTTTTTTCTTTTTCTTTTTTTCCATTGATTATTCTATATGAATGAATAAGATTATTCAACATTTGCGTGTGTGTATGTGTGTGTGTGCGCAATGAAAGTATCTTCATTTGTTGGTTTTCAAAAAAAAATAACTCCGTCCTATAAAAAGTGATCTAAGGACTAAATACAACCGCTCATCGGGATTCATAAATAGTAGAAAGTTATGTATAAAAAGATATATGGTCAATTTTATAAATATTGTAAACTTTCAACATTGTAATATTTGTAAATGACTTTGTTCTTTTTCTCATTATTTTTTAGCAACCCTCAATTGTTAATAATGCATCCAAATGAATGGATCAAACCAATATTTACTTTTTACCTAAAAAGTGGAGATGGATCTAACCCATTCTTTTAGGTAAATTTGCGTTTATGATTGCTGAAAAATAAGGTAAAAATAGACGGTGTTAGTTTCATAGATATTATAAATTTGAAAGTTTACAATAATTATAGAAATGATTCGTTTTTTTACTAAAATTTTCAACAATTACCTTTATGGATGGTTATGATCAGTTTTCACTTTTTAAAAAAGGATCCTATTATTATTAGAATCCATATATGAATACACACACACATACACACACACACAAGCGCACTCCAGTGAGAACTGCTCCTTAAGCGAGAACTAGAAACCGAGCCATCCAATTTGGAAATATCAAATGGATTAGAATCAATTTTTAAAAAATGCGTTGTTATTTTTGTAAATAACTCAAACTTTAAAATGTAAGTAACACATGCAAGTGTGCAAATAACTGGTTCAATTAAATCAGTATAAAGCGCAACATTTAATATTGTACAATGGAGTGCAAGTATAATTAACTTTCAAATTTGGTACAATTGATTATAACGTTAGTTGCACACTTAATATTGTTGTTTGCACTTAAAGTTTTAGTTGCATTTTTTTTTCTTCTCTTACTGCTTTAAAGACATTATATTTTTCCATATGAATAGATCTTATTTGTTTCTAGTTTTTTTTTTTTTTTTTTTTTTTTTTTTTTTGTGCGCATGTTCTTATTTGATCCAAATAACACACACAAATAAATAAATAAATATATATATATATATATATATATATATATATATATATATATATATATATATATATATATATATATATATATATATCAAGGTTGCAAAACTCGGCCGCCTAGGCGCTAGGCGGCCCCGAGCCTTGGAGTTTTGGCCAAAACTCGGCCAAAACTCAGCCGGCCGCCTAGGCGGCCGCGGCGGCTGCTAGGCGGCCTGGGCGGCCAAACTCGGCCAACTCGGCCGAGTCGGTCAACTCGGCCAACTCGGCCAACTCGGCCGAGTCGACCGATTTTGTCCGATTTTGACCGTTTTTAACCGATTTTGTTTGATTTTGACCGATGTCGTCTTTCATTAATTATTGATTTTAATATTATTATGACATTATGACTTATAAATTATCATTATTTCATTTATTTAGATGTGTTATTTGAGTGAACGTTGAAAACAACCTCATTAAAATTGTCGAACTACAAGTCTGTTACTATTTTTTTTAATTTTTTTGGTGCCCGCCTAGCGCCGCCTAGAATCCGCCTAGGCGCCGCTTAGACCGCCTAGGCGCTAGGCGCTGCCCGGCCGCCCGACTAGCGCCTAGCGCCTACTGCAACCATGATATATATATATATATATATATATATATATATATATATATATATATATATATGTATATATATATATATATATATATATATATATATATATATATATATATATATATATATATATATATATATATATATATATATATATATATATAGAGAGAGAGAGAGAGAGAGAGTAGAGTTCTGGTGTGGCGGCGCCTTAACATGCGGTCAGTGCGGCTACATAGATAGTTATGCAAATATGTACCAATAATGTTAAAAAATGCACAACAAAAAAATGCACAAATTAGGTACGCATCACAAAAAACGCACCATTAGGTACGCATAAAAGTACCACACATTGTTCGGAAATGCACAATTATGGGTGGGGAGTTATGGTGCATATTTTTGGGTGTGTTGTGTGTTTTTTGGTGTATTTGTGCATTTCATTGTTGTGCATTTTTCAAACACTATTGGTGCCTTTTGTTAACACTATTGGTGCCTTTTTTAAGCGGCCGCACTGACCGTATGTTAAGGCGCGACCGCATTTGAGCAGAAGTGTGTGTGTGTGTGTGTGTGTGTGTGTGTGTGTGTGTGTGTGTATTTATATATATAATGATTTTTACCTAGTAAGTATACATCATTGTACCGCTGTACAACTGCACAAATCCTCAGATTTTGGTCGTCTAATCACATATCTCAACGGTGCATAGGAATTCACAGGTTCACACCCAAGCAGGGGTTATCACCTGAAGTGGGGTTTATATATATGTATATATGTATATAAGGAAGGGTTCAAGTGCAGGTATAGCTTCCCGTGCGGTTGACGCACCTTAAGCATTAAAATGACGCACCTTAAGAACACAAACTACGCACCTTAAGAACACACCACGCACCTTAAGAACACAAACCACACACCTATGGTTTTAAAATGACGCACCTTAAGTTTCACACAACTAGCGCACCTTAAGAATACAAATCACGGATCTTAAGAAAGTAAACAACGCACCTTAAGCACAAAAACCACACACCATAAGAAGAAAAATCACGCACCTTAAGAAGGAAAACCTCGCACCTTAACAACCGCACTTGAGAAGGTCAACCGCGCGGGAACCTCTCTCTCTCTCTCTCTCTCTCTCTCTCTCTATATATATATATATATATATATATATATATATATATATATATATATATATATATCATTAATTCTCACCAAATTTTATCAATAATTAAGTGCACCAATAATGTTAACAAGGTAAATTACTTGCACTATTTAGTGAAAATTGTTGCACTTTTAATTGATTTTGCTTGCAGTTTTTATTTGCATACTTGCACCAGTTACTTACACATTTAACACATTTTACTGGCACCCTACCAAAGATCGAATTATTAACGAAAATTCCACCACGTAAGTTTTCAAAATTATATCTGATTCATTAAATCTAAACACGTGAATGGTTGCGATTAATTCTTAGTTCTTTCCTGAGCACCCGTCCTCACCTGAGTGCGCATATATATATATATATGTGTGTGTGTGTGTGTGTGTGTGTGTGTGTGTGTGTGTGTACATATACATATATATATGTATGTATATGTACACACACACAGATATATATATATATATATATATATATATATATATATATATATATATATATATATATATATATATATATATCTACTATACTAATAAGAGCCTAAGAGAGTTAGGCCTATATTGGGTAGAAAAAATGGCGGTCACAGATTTTAATCAAATGAATGGCTCAAATTGATTAAAAGATTGATCAGATTTAAATTTTACACTAAAATTTTCTAAAATACCCACACATCGTTACTAATTCCGTTAAAATTTTAAGAATTGCCGTTAGTTCACCGTTAACTCACTCATTGATTTCAATAAAAAAAAAAGGTCTTAGGTTCGAACCTCATCCTAATCAAGTTGGCATAATTAGTACTCTATTTTACTCTTATTAAATTACTAGTTTTTTGTACGCGCTTTGCGCAAATGGGATAATGCCCAATAATTATTTTTAAATAAGTATTTCAAAGTATATCAATGTAATATTATATAGGAGATGTTCATGCATAGGTAAATAAATGTTGTCAATAGAGGATGCTAATAAATAATTCAAAATATATGGTTACAATAGATATTGATATAATGATATAGTAAAAAATATTAATACCATAATGGCCTAAATCATTTCAATAATGCAAAAGCATAATTGAAATATTATGTTTTGTTCTAAATAATCAGATGAAGATTAATTAAACCAAAAAAAAAAAAAAAAACTTAACCTAAATTTGATTTTTTTTTAAATAAAAAATTCATGAAAATCAAATAATAATTTTAAAGTAGTTCCTGATTTATAATCTTTGATGCTCAACTTTGAATGTTATGTATTTAGTCGAGCTAATTATTTTATCAAAGTTTATTTTAAATTTTATATTATATTTTTTTTAATACATTTTAACATATTCATAATATATGTTTAACAATTATGCCAACTATGCTTGGGATGAGGTTCGAACCTAATACCTTATATAAATTAAGAGTATGTTAATAATAATAAATAGTTAACGGAATATTCCGTTACTAAAGTTTAAACTAACGGAATTTAGGGTTATTTAAGGGAAGAAAATAATATAATAGAGGGTAAAAAAGACAAATCATTAAAAGATACTAAAATCAAAATAATATGAACCATTCATTTTAAGAAACAATTAGTACCGACATTTTTTTTGTTCCAGTTAAGGGCCTAACATTATTCGCTCTTATTAGATTTGTAGATGTAGATATAAATAATAATTTAGTAGTTACAACAAAAAATAATACATATGCATTTCTTTAATTTAGAATTATGTGTTCACAATGTCTTTATTCAAAAAAAAAAAAAATTCATTATCAATAAATTAAATAAGATAAATAATTTTATTAGTTATATTGTCTTTATTTTTCTTCAATATAAAAATTCTTTATATTCAAATTTATTAATTGATTATATTCGCTACATTGTCCTTACAATGTCTTTATTCAGTGAAAAATAAATTATTAATTATCAATAAATTAATTAAAAGAAATATTTTCATTAGTTATATTGTCTTTATTTTTCTCAAATGTAAAAATTTTTACATTCAAATTCATCAATTGATTATATTCATTACATTATCTATTATCTTTTTGTGCACTATTTTATTAATTAAATATCAAAGTTATAACATAAAATAATGCTATATATTTATTTACCAAGTATTTTATTAATACCATGAAAAAATTAAAAAATATAATTAATAAAGCCATCCATATTAACTACTTGAGAGATATTGTGACAAAGAGAGTATTCAAATCACACAAAAAATTGAAGTGAGAACTACCTCGCAATGTCCTTGTTTGACAATCAGCAGTTAGCGGTTAACGTTAGCGGATTATACAAGCAGATTTGACCAGTGAATTTATTTAATTATTAACATTGGGTAGAAAAAATGACCGCCAAACTATTAAATCAAATGAATGGTTCATATTGTTCAGGTTTTAATTTTTTTCTTTTAAGATTTTCTAATTTATCCTTAATTATATGATTATCCATTTAACTTTTCCGTTAATTCACCGTTAGTCTAATTCTAATATTAAAGTCTAATATAGAATTATAACTACACCATTAATCTAATTCTAATATTAAAGTCTTAATAGAACTTAAGCACAAATCCTAATGTCGGAATCTCCTTAAACAATATTTGTATATATTTCATATTTTATGCCCTAATTTTTATTTGTTCTCCCTTATGTCCCGTATTTGGTTTCAACCATACCTATACAATTATTTTATTGACAATTATAATTAATATTGACTATATTATCTTGCATTTGTAAACTTAGAATTACCTATTTAACCTGCATGGGCTTAGCTCAATGGTTTAGTGGATAGTATTTGGGAGAAGAGACCAAGGTTTGAACCTCGGCGGCGGCAATGCGTGAATTATGTCCAAAGTGGGTAGATTCCTTGTGCGTAGCAGCATTTGGCCCTGTCTGCTGAACCATTGAGTCACCGTGATTTACAACTTCCCACAATGCTCTGTCGGGTCGGAGTGTGGGGGGGCCCTTGGGGTTGGGGACTCAACATTTGGGAAAAGAATTATCTATTTAAATACGCAAATTCAACCTTCAATTATCTATGCATGAACAATTTCAATATAATCTTGCCTTAATATACTTTAAAGTACTTATTTAAAAAAAAGCATTGGATATTATCCCAATCGCGCAATGCGCGTAAAAAACTAGTATATATATATATATATATATATATATATATATATATATATATATATATATATATATATATATATATATATATATATATATATATATATATATATATATACACGGATATAATTTTGAAAACTTAGGTGGTGACATTTTCGTAAATAACTCGATCTTTGGTAGGGTGCTAGTAAAATGTGTTAAAAGTGTAAGTAACTGATGCAAGTTTGCAAGTAAAAAGTGCAAGTAAAATCAATTAAAAGTGCAACAATTTTCACTAAATAGTGCAAGTAATTTACCTTGTTAACATTATTGGCGCACTTAATTATTGATAACGTCTTCACATTGGTGCACTTAATAATGATAAAATTTGGTGCACCGAGTGTACTTCATATTGATCCTCAATGTACATTATTTGTTGGACTTTTAATACATTTTACTTGAACTTAGGTGCACTATATGAAACTATTACTTGCACTTTTAATAAATTTTTACTCAGTTTCAACCCGTTTAACCTGTTAACAAAATGTGTTCATGTTCGTGTTAAAAATTTTAACTCGTTAATCTTAATTTGTCGTGTCCATATTTAACCTTATCGTGTTTGTGTCATTAAGGTGTTGACCCGTTAAGGAACTCGTATACACGAATTGCCAATTGTAGTTGCACACGCCTTCATATATAGTCACTTTCCATGCTAGGTAGCTGAGGGAACGAATCTTGACTCATATTACAACTTTCTTTTTGTAACGCAGCTAGCAAAAGGTAAGGGAGGATAGCAAACTGCTCTAAAGAATATAATGGAAAAAGAAACAACTCGTGACTACATTCCCCACTTGGTCTCAATTGGTCCCAACCATTATGGAAATCCCAAACTTTCTGACATGGAAACTCAGAAGACAGAGCTTCTTGATCTTGAATCCAGGGAATGGAATTCCCAAAAGGCATCATCCCTCACAAACGCTTTGCTAGAATTGGAAGAGAAGACTAGAAAATGCTATCCCCATAGTTTCAACCACATGGATGGGGATGCATTTGTGAGGATGATGCTCACAGATGCATTCTTCCTCATAAACCTCTTCACAGATTACCCCAAATTCCGCAAGGTACTAGCTTATTAAATAATTCCCAACAATTTCTCTCTCTTTTTATTATTATTATTTTTTATTTAAGAAAGATCCATAAGAGTAAAAAGCCGGGTTACCATGCATTAATATAAAAAATCACGTCGATGAAACACTACTTAATTAGTATTGTTGGAATATTGTGATCACTAAGAGTTTGGCAATCATTATACCATGAAACATGATCCATCTTTTATTAGTATATTAAATGTTCATTTTTAAGGTTATTTTGTGTGTAGTGAAAGATCATTTTTCGGTATATATTATTAAAAGATGAACGTTTAGTACATTAAAAATTAACATTTAATTCGATAGAATGTATAGAAATTAAATTATATGCATACAGTACTCAAAAAAAAATAATATATATATATATATATATATATATATATATGTATGTATACAGGGTGACGAAGAATTACCAAACAGATGCATTTTTACAACGCGTTGGATGCTGCCATATATTTGTGAGGATTTACTAATGTTAGAGAACCAGGTCCCCTTTTTCATCCTTGCCAAGGTGTACGTTATATTGACCGATAACGAATCAGCCGATAGTTTGAAGAAGCTGGCGCTTCAATTCTTCAAACAATTAGTTCCCTTTGGCAAAGCGGCAGAGAGTTCTACTTCAAGATCGCCAGAAAACCCCAAACATTTGCTGGATTTGTTTCATAGTAGTTTCGTTACTCAAAAGGATAGATCAGAGGAAAGCACAACTAACCCATCATCACATAAAATGGAAACCAAGTTTTGGGTCGACAATGCCTCAACACTAAGGTCTAAAGGAGTTACATTCATTGCAAGGGAAGCTAGGAGGATTATGCCACTGGATATTGAATTCAGCTGGCTAGGACTCCTCAGAATTCCAACGCTTTATATCGATGAAAGAAACATGAGGGTCCTCAAAAGCCTGTTGGCATACGAGCAAGGATCACGTGAAGTAAAGCCATATTTCAGCTGTCTTGCAGTGTTCTTCTCCAATATCGCAACCACTAAACGTGATGTGAAGCTTCTGAGGGAGGCAGGGATTATCCAGCACCAACTCCATAGTGATAAAAAGGTTGTTAGTCTTTTCCAAGAACTCTACGAAGCGGTTGAGTATAGCTCCGACGAGGATTGCCTGCTCAAATGTGAGGTTGAGCGTATTAATAGATTTGCTGCGGCATTTGTTCCGGGAAAGTTTATTAGTTACGCCAAGAGAATATTGTTGGCAAACTTTGTCCCTTTCGTTGTGTTGTTTGTTACTTTATTCTTATCTTTGTCACCAGCTGATACCTTAAAACCCTTTAGAATTAGAGCCTAGGATCGATATATGATGCCCTTTAATTGGCTCAATTTTAATTTCTCGTTGTACTTGTGTTTTCATTTGTGTATTCTTTTAAGAAATGTTTTTAAACTGTAAACTTTTTTTTTTTTTTAAAAAGAAACCAAACTCAATTGATTAAAGAATGAATACATTATATTGAGGGGGAATATCCTCTCAACTACATAAATTAGTGGTAGAATGTGTAGCCCGAGCTACAGTGTGAGCTAGCACATTCACTGATCTACTGACATATCTAGCGACACAAGCCCAAAATTTAAATAAGAAACAACGACTATCCCTAGTAACAATACCGGTGTAAGATAAATTCTGAGAAGAGTCGTGATTTTAAACTGTAAACTTGGCATACCTTATCCCTTGAAAAATCACATTTGTGTTTTGTGTACTATTTCTTCTATAATAATAATAATAATAATAATAATAATAATAATATTATTATTATTATTATTATTATTATTGTTGTTGTTGTTGTTGTTGTTGTTGTTGTTGTTGTTGTTGTTGTTGTTGTTGTTGTTGTTGTTGTTGTTGTTGTTGTTGTTGTTGTTATTATTATTATTATTATTATTATTATTATTATTTCTTAAATTAATTAAATATAATCATAATTTTAATATTGATTAATAATGTTGGATACTTTCGTACATCGCCCGAACAAAGACTAATTTTCATGAGAATCAGACTCTCATGAGAACTAGTAGCTCCATGGGATAGTTTGTGGATAAACTAATCTTATCTAAGTTAAAGACGAATCTTCCTAATTCATACAAGTCCATCACTCAAAAACAACAATCATCTTTCTGTACGTGTTGAAGTAAGTTGGAAGATCATCGAATCCTAGAAACGCGACTTAGTGATTGACCTTTAACTAGTTTTTGATTAGGTAGTGAAGGACAAGTTGGCGTGGAGCTCATGACTTGTCTCAAGGATTGCCACCGGAAGAAGCCAGTAGTACAGTTAGCCGTGTGTGCAAAGAGCTTCGTTTCACTTTGTATTGTGTACAACTAATACTTAGTGAAATCCTCATTGAAGTTTAATGAGAAGAGTGGGGTGAGAAAGTTTTCTGAACCACTATAAAATTATCTCTCTCTTTTGAACTTTACATTCATATTATTTATATATTGTGCAAACTAACTACATACTCAAGCCAAGGATCTTGTGGTCTAGTGAAGTTAATCTCCCATATAAGAGGTTGTGGGTTCAAGCCTTATTGGAGGTGGTATTGACTTATTGAGTCAATAGTACTAAAAAAAACAAAAAAAAAAAAAAAAAACAAAAAACTACATACTCAGAAAACACATTCATGCAATCTCACAAAACTTAGCTACAATTTTTTTTTTCTTTTTGGCAATTAAGAATTTTTTTTTTTGAAAGGAGCCTGTACGGCATTTATTCGAAATATGCAGAAATAGCAGCTGGTGGACTAGAGTCCGAATACATAACAGTTGTCTGAGTAAAGGCAAAAGATGCTAAAGTATGAGCTAAATAATTCTCTAATCTAGGAACATAACGAATTAAACAATTCTCAAAAGTCAACATACTAGTCCTGCAGCTATCAATGGTGTAGCCCAAGTAAGCCCGTGATGATCGAGTCGAAGATGATAGATATTGTTGTAGTACTAAACAATCTGTGAAGAGCTGGATAGAGTTTATACCGCGATCCCTCAACCATGACAAAACTTCTTTGCACGCTAGAGCCTCTGCCATTAGAGGTGTAAAACAATCTGACATAGGGGTGGTCATTGTGGAAATATATCCTCTTTGCGTATCTAGTATAATAGCACCCGCCGCCGCCTTGTTCGTTTGTGGGTTGTATGCCGCGTCGAAGTAGCACATGAGAGGCTCCACGTCTGAGGCGATTGGTTGTTCTACTGGTTGCATCACAGCGCTGCTTTGTGGCAGTCCGTGCACTGCCGGCACAGCAGTGACATTCACTGTCATTGGCGGCATTATGGTTGGCATTCCACCCTGCTCCGCTACGGCCGTATTGGTTTGTGGCTGTGCATGTGTGGGGTGCGCAACCTTCCAAGAATGTACAGCTGAAGACGCCATTGCTGATATTTTCTGAGGCCTGGGTAAACATGCGTCCCAAACAGCCCCATTCCTCGCACGCCAAATGTAGTATAGAATGGCCACTGCATAAATAATCTCATTATCATCTAAAATATTCATCAAATCATTAAACCAATCACTGAAAACATTTGTGACACTATTGGGAATTGGAAGGTGAGATTGTGCCCAAATGTTTGTTGTATAGCCACATGTGATCAAAGAATGCACAATATCCTCATGTGTAGTTCCACACATAGCACATGTTGGATCAATATCCACTCTCCTTATAAGTAGATTGTTTGTGGTGGGTAAAATATTATTCAGAGCTCTCCATATAAATGTCTTCCACTTTGGGGGATCTTGAGTTTCCATAAAACCTTCCATTTATCAAAGGTCCCTAGCGGTTGGGAGTACTCACCCACTAGTTTCCTATACCCATCCTTGACTGAATATTCACCATTTGGATCCCCATACCAGTACCACAAATCATCATAATCAGGTGACACAAGTATTTTTTTAATTCTTTCTACATCCTCCGATATGAAAATATCCGTGAGAATATCCGGATCCCAGGTTCCTGTTTGTTGATCCATTAGACCCATCACCTTTGCCTGTGCCAATTGGGGTGGTCTTTCCGTTTCTATTCTCGGGTGGTTTTCATCATGTAACCATGGGTGGTCCCAAATTAAAGTTGTTCTACCATTCCCAATTCTCCTCCGGACACCCCCACAAATTAACTCCTGAGCTGCTAAAATACTTCGCCAACAAAAACTTGGGTTATTACCCAAGCATGCATCATAGAAAGAATTATTGGGATAGTACCTGGCCTTATACACTCTCGAAACTAGCGATTGCGGCTGTGTCAGAAAACGCCACCCTTGCTTCCCCAACATAGCAAGATTAAAGGCATGCAAGTCTTTAAACCCCAAACCTCCATACTTCTTTGGAATACATAGTTTATCCCATGCCTTCCAATGTATACCCTGGTCATTCTTGGATCTCCACCAATATCGATTCATGGTTCGCTCAATAGCAGTGCATAAAGTCATAGGCAGCAAAAAAACGCTCATTGAAAAGGTAGGCATAGATTGGGCTACGCTTTTCAATAAAACTTCCTTCCCTGCTTGTGACAACAATTTTTTATTCCATGAGCTGATCCTCTGTCTTATCTTATCCTCAATATAAGAAAATGCCGCCCTCCTATTCCTGCCCACAAACGATGGAAGTCCTAAATACTTCCCAAAATTCTGAGCCTGCACCACCCCTAATATATTGGCAACCTCGTCCCTTATCTCTCCCCGTGTATTTTTACTGTAACAAATACTCGACTTATTGTAATTTACTGCCTGACCAGACATCTTCTCATACTCCGATAAACATCGTTTAATTACTTCTGCCTCCTGCACATTTGCCTTAAAAAACAGTAAACTATCATCGGCAAAAAATAGGTGGGTAATGAGAGGTGCTCCTCTTGCAACCCTACAACCATGTATTTCTCCTCTTGCTTGTGCCTGCTGCAATAATAGTGAAAGCCCTTCAGCACAAATTATGAACAAATATGGTGACAGGGGATCACCTTGTCTTAGACCACGAGTCGGGACTATCTGTTCACTCCGTGACCCATTTACCAGCACATTATAAGATACCGTGGTTACACACGTCATCAGTAATTCCACCCATTTGCCATCAAACCCTAAGGCCATTAACATTCTTTGTAAAAAGGACCATTCCATACGGTCGTAGGCTTTGGCCATATCCAGCTTTAAAGCCCCCCAACCCATGAGTCCACATTGCTTCCTGTTCAAGTAATGACCTACCTCCGCAGCTATCAATATATTATCTGTAATCAATCTCCCAGCTATGAATGCACTTTGTGATTCAGATATGATATTCTCCATCAAAGGCTTCATTCTAGCTATAATTATTTTGGCCATAATTCTGTACACCACATTACTCAATGCAATTGGCCTATAATCAGAAATCATCTCTGGGGTTTTCTTCTTCGGGATCAATATAATATTTGTCTCATTCAATTTACTAGGAAACGAGCTAGTATTTAGACAGTTGACAATATAAGTAGAAACATCAGTACCCACCACATCCCAGAAATGCTGATAAAATCCAGGGTTCATCCCGTCCGGCCCTGGCGCCTTATCAGGAAACATTGAAAACAACGCAGATTTAACTTCACTTTCCTCAAAAGGGCGCAACAGGCTTTCATTATACGCGGCAGTCACTCGCGGTTGTATACTCTCAAAGAAATTGTCGTTAATAATGGGAGAACTCGAGTCAAAGATATCACGATAATAATGCAAGATACTATTCCTCATGGCATCTCCCTCAATCCAATCCCCATTAGTATTCATAAGTTTCATAATAGAATTCTTTTTCTTTCGGTGAGAAGCATACCTGTGATAAAATCTGGTGTTCGCATCTGCGTTCTTGAGCCAATGCTGCTTGGCCCTCTGCCTCCAATACGTATCCTCCTGCAACTCAATACTAGTCAGATTGTCCTCTATCTTTTGAAATTCAGCTAGAGATCTCGGATCCATTCGCCCTCTCAGCCGCATCTGGTCCTTTTTTAAGTTCAGTATTCTCTCCCCGAATTTGTGAAAACGGTCTCCACCCCAGCGTGTTAACCGTTCCCCACAAAACGTGACACATTCCTGCAGCCCCCTACTCCTTCCTTCCTCCCATGCTTTTTCTACCACACCCCTACAACCTTCATCATGCAACCATGCCATCTCAAATCTAAAACCCCTTCCTAGGCCACCTCTCCTTTCCCGAAGATTGAGAATCCCAAGGAAAAGAGCAGAATGGTCTGACTTCCGGGTCAATATATTATGCACACTAGCATCAGGCACCAGATCCCTCCATCCTTGTGTGGCTAAAACCTTATCCAACCGCTTCTCTATCCAGTTTGGTGTACCCTTCCCCTTTTGCCAAGTAAACGGATATCCTGTCATGGGTAACTGCGCCAATCCACACTCCTCAATAGTCTCACCAAAACCCCGTAATAAAGCATCAGGGTGCGGATTACCTCCACGTTTTTCATATTGAAATAAGAGATCAATAAAATCTCCTATCATAACCCACGGTAGATCAGATTTGTTCGCTAGTGTACGAATAAGGTCCCACGATTCCCTTCTCTGCGGACGCTTTGAAAAGCCGTAGAAACCTGTCATTCTCCATTTTTCAAACCCGGGCATACTCACCTCCATGTCTACATAATTATCTGAATAACTTAATAATCTTGCTGTATTATTTGTCCTCCACAACAATGCCAAACCTCCACTCAATCCGGAATTATCAACATTAAATAAACCATCGAACCCAAGCTTAATCCGGAGTCGCTCAGCATGATCCCGGTTAACCTTGGTCTCCATCAGAAATACAAAATCGGGTTTCTTTCGGGACACTATGTCCTCAATTTCCCGAACTGTCCGTAGATTACCCAAGCCACGGCAGTTCTAACTCAAAGTACTCATTGGGTCGGGCGGGTCTGCATTGCAGCACCCGCCATCATCAAGTTTTTTTGAGCATCCGTCATTGCAACGTCTTCCCCCACTCCCTCATTCACTCCACGTCCACTCCCACTCCCATCCATCCCTCTCCTCCTTTTAGCCACTGCATGCACTGTCTCGTCCACCCCCCTCTCCTTCTCTAACCTGCCAACACCCACCCCGCCCCCTCCTTCCTCTTTCCACCGTCACACCCACATCCCCTTTCGGTTTACCCCCCAATGGGACCAACCATGAATCCCTAACCTCCCTCGGACTACGCACACCCCCCGCCCTCAACTCATCATTGTACGGAAATTGTTCCACCGGCACCGTAGCATTCCGGGCTTTTAGACAAAATCTATAAGAATGCCCCATCATTCCACAATAAAAACAAAAAGTGTGCAGCCTTTCATACCTGAAATTAATCCAACAATACGTCTTATCCCGTTTCATCATTCTCATTCTTCGTTTAATCGGTTTGTCTACCGGGATTGCAACTATTATTCGGTAATACGTTAGCCATGGTGCATCTAGGTACCGATCATCCAATCTAACGAAAACCCCCAAAAAATTCCCGATCTACTCCAGGATTTTGTCCGTTGTATATCCAAACGGTATGTCATAGCATTGGACCCACAACTCCACGGTGTCAAGAGACACCTCGGTCGGCACTGCGCCCTGCGGAAGCTGTCTACATACTAGTGTGTGATTCTGGAATGCCCAAGGACCACCCTCCAACACATACTGCATATCTGTATAATGATAGAAAACGAGCATGAACAATTTCGGTTGAACCTCAGTTATTTGAACTCCCCGCACCGGTTGCCAAATGGAAGCAAGCACCTGGCGCATGAATTCAACTTTGATCGCCTTTTTCGTCAGAAAACGCCCGATCAACACCCAAGTCTCGTCCTCCTCTACGGCTTGCTCCGCCTCACCTTCCTCCTCCTCGGCCGGAACCAGCGTAGCTTCTTCCTCCTCCAGGACGAGTTCGTTCCACTGCTCCACCAAGCCAGCGATCTCACCACCTACTGCTGCCGCCTCCATCCTTCTCTGTTAACAGGCCGGAAGACAAAAACCGTCGCCTGTCGTGTGTATTAATCGGAAACCCGCAAGAATTGCCGTAGAAGATTGCCGGAACCCTAGGAAAACCCTAGAATAATGAGAAACCCTAGACTAGGCGCTAGAGAGAAAATTTTAAGAAGAAGATTGGCAATTAAGAATTTAAGATTTCCACTATAAGAAAATTTCATTTCCTTTGTTCAATCAGGATTTTTTTTTTTAAAGTCTAGTCAACCTCTCACCCCAGCCTTATCTCTCAACCTTCTAAATTTTAACTTGTCCAGAACCAACCGAACTCACAAAACCTAGCTACAAACTTTTTTTTTTTTTTTTTTGCAATTAAGAATTTAAGACTTCCACTATAAAGAAATTTCATTTCCTTACGTTGTTTAATAAGGAAAAAAAATTAAAGTCTATTCAACCCGATGGATTTAATTCACCCGGGATGGACCCGAATCATTAAACCCGAATAAGAATGTAATATAAAATAAGTAAATGCAACGAAACGATGTCGTAATAGGTCGTGAAGACCGTATATTATATTAGATGCCGTAAATAGGCTATTACAAAGATTTGATGGGACCAAGTATCTTGAAATTAGTGAAGGTGTCCTAATAATTAAGATGAGGTGGGGGGTCTTTATATGCAAAAACCCCCAACTGCTCCACCTACTCTGGGGGGAGGTTAGAT